AAAAAATGGAACACGTTACACACTGATACACTGAACACGCGACAAAAGATATGAGGCGATAATGCGAAGGTACTTTTTCAATAATTACAAAGTTTTAGCTTCAAAAGGTAAGTCAAATTACACAGAGATAACACCTTTATATAACTTTATTAAAGTGCTGCTACATGTTTACTAGCAATAGAAAGACAGCAATATTTCCTCACACTCCAGCCAGTAGTAGACCAATAAGTCGATAATTCAAATTCCATTACATTCACACAAAGTGTTTTTGACGATAACTGTACAAAAGTCCAAGAAAAACAAAGTCTTCCCCCAAATTTCCTATTTTTCAAGAGCATCACATTAACGCCAAATTAGAAACCCCAGCTTAATTCTTTCGTAAAATTACATTTAACAGATATCCAAACCAAACAAACAACAAAGTTCAACTCCGCAAAAATCCTTCCCATTTTATTTATTTATTTATTTTTCTTATGTCCAACTAACAGCAAATGGACTCCTCACAACATGCCTCCCATCAGACCATTCCACCGTCCCGAAGTCATTCGTATTGGACGGCATTGTCGTCGCCGCGCTGAACGTCACCACATACGATTTCTTCTCGTTCGCTCGACCGAAACTCAGCACTCCCGGAACAACTGATATCTTAACCGACTCGCTCGTCGACAAAACCGAGACCCTGTAACTCCCCGGCGGCCCCACATTGGTGAGCGTTCTCGTGTGCTTAACCACACCGGATCCCGCCCCACCTCCGCCCATCAGTGTCACCGCGAACGAAGGGTAATTCAGGTCGTTCGCGCTGTACGCTCTGCGCGGCGCGCAGCTGAAGTTCCTCCTCGCCAGGCTGTAGATCTGCGCCGGCGTGTATTTCAAAGCGCAGAGGAAATTTAAGTAGTCGTCGGTATCCATGTCATAGACGAGGCCCGGGTTTAGGGCCGAGATTGGGTCCGCGTGGCCCGCACCGTGGTCGAAAGGGGTCGACGGACGGCCGGTGGACACGTCGAGGATGGGACCGCCGTTCTTGTACGCAATGTAGGCCGTTGTCATGAGGGCTGATTTTATGGCGGCCGGGCTCCAGAGTGGGTGGGCCGCTTTCAGAAGGGCGGCTAGGCCGCTCACGTGGGGGCAAGACATGGAAGTCCCGGAGATTATGTTGAAGCCCACGCGCCGCATGTCCTCGGTCAGGCCCGTGGGGCCCATTAGGCCCGACCATCCAGCGAGGATGTTTACGCCGGGGGCTATTAGATCTGGTTTTAGGATCTCGGGAGTGATGGAGTTGGGGCCTCGGGAGCTGAAGGCTGCGACGACGGGGGACGGTTGGATTCCGACCTTGGTGCCCTCGAAAGAGATCGTGGCCGTCGGATTGGGATCTGACGAGAGATATTCTTTGATGAAATTGCCGGAAGTCTCGCCGACGGCCGTGGCGGGAATCAAGTGGGCGTCGGCGACGAGTTCCTCGCCGTTGGCGGCGGTGTTGGCGAGGACCATCCCGGCGCCTCCGGCGGATTTGACGACTGCGCCCTTCTGGACTCTGGGGTTTACGCCGCGGTCGCAAAGGACGATTTTGCCCCTGACTTTTTCAGGGTCGAGGGTTCCGGTCATGCAGAGGTTGCCGTTCGTGGCGTTGGAGGCGTTCCCGGCGTAGATGAAGGGGAGGAGCTTGCCGGGGAGTGGGTCGCCGCTTTTTATTAGGGAGACGCCGGAGAAGTTCTTACCGTTCCCGAGGGTGACGTAGGCCGGGAAGTCGCGGTCGAGGGTGCCGGCGCCGACGGTGGTTATCCACGGCGCCACGTTGGAGAGGCTGTACGGGCCGGGCCCGGCGTTGCCGGCCGAGCAGGAGACGAAGATGCCCCTCTCGACGGCGGCGAAGGCGCCGATGGCCACGCTGTCCCTGTAGTAGTCGGACATGCCGCCGCCTAGGGAGAGGGACAGCACGTGGACGCCGTCGGTCACGGACCGGTCCAAAGCCGCCAGGATGTCCGAGCTGAAGCAGCCGCCGGCCCAGCAGACTTTGTAAACCGCCAACCGGGCCCGGGAGGCCATCCCGCGGGCCGTCCCTGCGGCGAACCCGAACAGGCTGGCGTTAGTTACGACAGATCCGGCGGCCGTCGTGGAGGTGTGGGTCCCGTGGCCGTCGCCGTCGAGCGGCGATTTGGACTCCTTGGACTCGTCGATGGGGCCCAGCGTGGCCTCATAGCCTCTCGCGAAATATCGGGCTCCGATCAGCTTCCGGTTGCAGCTCGATTTCGAGAAGTTGGTTCCCGTCTCGCAGTCGCCCCTCCAGGAGGTCGGGACCGGCCCGAAGCCCGTATCGTCGAGGCTCGGGCTTTCGGGCCAGATCCCGGTGTCGAGGACGCCGACGATGACCTCGCCGGCAGATTCGGACTCCGGGAAGACGGCGGCGTTCTGGTCCAGGCCCATGAAGGAAGGGGTCCGGGTGGTGTGGAGCTCGTACCTCATCTCCGGGAGGACGGAGAGGATGCCGGGCCGGGCCTCCATAGCTCGGGCCTCCTCCGGTGTGAACCTGGCGGAGAAGCCGTGGATCACGTTGGTGTAGGCGTAGATCATCTGGGCCGAACCGGAGACCGACTGGAGAGACGAGTCGTACCAGTCGATGTGGTCGTCGAAGGCCGCCGGCATCTCGGATTTAGCCATGTGAATTATGTAAGTTTTCTTCTCCGCCGTGGAAATATGTGAAAGCAGTAGAAGAAACATCGAGATTCCGATTACCGGAAGTGTGGGGATATCCCTTTTTTTCTCCATTTTTATGTGTTTCGTTTTAATTTTGCCGGTTGCTTTGAGAGAGGCTCTGATAGGGGTCGACCACTGTCNTGATTGCGGTTCAACAAAAAAAAAACAGATAATAAAACAGAAAAATAATAAAAAAAAAATCTCTATCAATTCATGTACTTATTTAGTTATTTTATCACCATAAATATAATAAATAATACTAATACGAACTTGAAAAAAAAATTACATTGAAAGTTTGTATTCTCAGCCGTATGAGGTATTGACGTTTAGCCATGATCACGTGCGGGGCGAGTAGTCTCTGGGCAGGATTTTTAATCCACTGCCACTGGATTGAACAAGGAAAGGCGAAATTTAAGAAAACGCCAAAATCCACCTCACACTCTACAGTTTCTTCTCGTTCACTCAATCATCTGTTCAATATGTGAAAGTTTTTCTAAATGTGGAAACTGGAAAAGTTGTAACTAAGATGAATAAAATAAATAGTGAGAAAATGCAGAAAGAGAGAAAAATACGTGTAAAAATGGTGGAGTGTTAACTGTTAATTTATGGTTAAAGTTGGTCACGGACTCACGGGTCAGTGTAAATATGTGAAATTAATTGGGAGTGGGTGGAGGAGCTTTTAAAAAACTTCCAACTTCCAAACTACAAAAATCTACTTGGTAAACTCTTTACACAGAAATTGAAAGGGAAAAATTGTACACGATTTTTTTGGTAAATTGTAATTTTGTCGTAACTTTATTTTTGGATAAAATTATACACGACCTGTATTTTTACAAAACAAAGCATGTCAGTCTCCCGAGAGCTAATTTGTTAGGAAAGACAGGATTAAGGAAACACTTCTTTATCAAATAATTCATTTAAAATAAAATAAGTAAGGATGTAAATGAGTCGGGTTGGGTCGGGCGTGGATTTTGACAAACCCGAATTTGGCCCGTTACCCGTAAGTGAACTTCGGATTCGGGTTGGCAACAGGTTATCGGGTCTTCGTCAGGTAAATGGGTAACCCAAATTCTTAAATTTGGGTTTTACTTGGTCCCAACCCGACCTGACCCGTTTCATATGTAAAAAAATTAAATAAAATAATTTCACAATTAAATATAATGTAATTAAAAATTTATTAACTAAGTTTGGCAATAAAATGACTATAAAAAAATCTATATTATTTTTAGAATAAATATTGAGATATAATTATTTATTTTTATGGTCTAGTTAATATTATAACATTTAGAAATTAAGTATTTAAATTTTATACTGTACAACTAAAATGAAAATTGATAAAAAAAATCAGAAAAATAAAATAAAATTTAAACCATTTAACCAAATTATAAAAAATAATTTAGTTTTATATTTATAATATGATATATATATAAAATATATATACAAACATATATATATGTATAAGATATTATGTTTGCGGATAAACGGGTCGGGTAACATGTTTTTCTATCATACCCGAACCCGACCCGACCCAACTCGGAGTTCAGGTAGCATAATTATACTCGAAACCCGACCTAAAACCCGATCATTCAGGGTTTACCCGACCCGAAACTGCGGGTTTTATTGACATGCCTAAAAATGAATTGTTTTGGTTAACTAGAGTGAATTTTGAAAAATGTGGTTTGATTTGTTGTTATGGATTTTAAAAATATATTAAAATAATATTTCAAATAAAATGATTATTATTGATTTCATATAAAAGTAGGAGATAAATTATTGAAAATGATATGTAGTTAAACTTATGTGAGTAGATAAATAGTGAATTAAAATTGATGTGATGTGTAAAAATGATTGGTTTATATTATTTAATTTTATAAAAAATATTAAGGACAATGAGATTGAGTTAAAGTTGAGTTAGATTTGAGTATGAAATAAATATGAATAAATTANCTCAAGATAAAATTATCTTCATAATCCATTTTATGTGTTTGTTTCTCTAGAGAAAGATAGGATTAGAGTGATATTTATAAATGGAAAATGCTGGATGTACATGTAAGTTTACAACTTTCACTTACAACCTTACGTGGCATCATAAAACTGAATATATATTCTTTTATTTTACATACATAAAGAAACAAAAAAAAAAAGGAAATAAAAGAAATAAAGGACTTCACATCTAACCCGTCAGTTTGCAAAATCCCTAATCGACCAAAATCACAAATTGACGAAGAAGCCAGAAGATGGAGCAGCCCTCTGCAACACTGCAACAAATACACATCTAACCCGTCTGTTTACAAAATCCATAATCGACCAAAATCCCTAATTGACGAGGAAGCCAGAAGATGGAGCAGCCCTCTGCAACACTGCAACATATACATGCCCACGAGACTAGATCTTCAGATATGGTAATGAAAGACGGTGAGAATGGACCGTTGCTTGAATATGAAATTGTTAATACAGATTGTAGTACGAATATAGGTGCTCCAGTGGCAGGTATGGAATTCAAAGATATTGACAGCATCTTTGATTTCTACAAACAATATGCTTACAGTGTCGGGTTTCCAGTGAGAAAAAGAAATTCGAGAAAGGATGATGACGGTGTCTTACGATATGCTACTTTCACATGTAGTCGTGAAGGAAAAAGAATGAGTGGCACAAGGGGTTCACTAAGGTCGCAACCAACAACTCAGACAGACTGCAAAGCTCGAATCTCGGCGTCTTTAGATGATCATGGTTATTGGAGAAGTAACACAGTTCATCTCTACCATAATCACAAATGTAGTCCAACTAAGTCGAGATTATATTGATGCCATAGAGAATTGACTGCAACTGTAAAACGAAGGCTTGAAGTGAATGACGTGGTCGGAATTCCATTGCATAAAAGCATCCATTCTACTGTAGTTGAAGCGGGTGGATATGAGAATATGACTTTTGTCGAGAAGGATTTTCGTAACTATATCAAAAAATTTAGACGGTTAAGCCTGGGAGAGGGGGACGCAGCAGCAATACAATCATATTTTACAAATATGCAAGCAAGGTGTGCTGGATTTTTCTTTTACATGGATTTGGATGATGGTTCTCGGTTGCGGAATATTTTTTGGGCGGATAGTCGAAGTAGAGAAGCATATAAAGAATTTGGGGACGTCGTCACATTTGATACAACCTACTTGACTAACAAATATGACATGCCTTCTGCACCATTTGTTGGCGTTAATTATCACGGACAATCAACACTTCTAGATTGCGGTTTGATCTCGAATGAAAATACGGATACCTTCGTTTGGCTTTTTCGGACATGGCTTAAGTGTATGCATGGTCAACCTCCTCAAGGAATTATCACTGACCAAGACAGAGCAATGCAAAATGCCATTCGGATTGTTTTCCCCAATACGAGACATAGATGGTATTTGTGGCACATTTTAAAAAAATTGCCTGAAAGGTTTGGATATCATGTCGATAAAGGTTTAATTTTTTCAACAATACATGAATTGGTGTATGACTCCCAAACAGTTGAAGAATTCGAACAAGGTTGGGAGTCAATGACCACAACATATGAGTTGTATGACAGTGAATGGTTGTTGAGATTGTATGAGAAATGTAGTCTTTGGGTTCCATGCTTTCTAAAAACTTTTTGCTGGGCTGGAATGTCAACAACACAACGGAGAAAAAGCATGAATGCTTTTTTTTGATGAGTACGTCCACTCAAAAACATCAGTGAAACAATTTGTTCAACAATATGAAAGAGCACTGAGAAACGAGGTGGAAAAAGAGGTCCAGGCTGATTTTAAGTCATTTTGCCAAATAGTCCCATGTGCAACAACATATGAGATGGAAAAGCAATTCCAAACAGTGTACACTATTTCTAAATTTAAAGAAATTCAAGCCGAGTTTGTGGGTAAAGTTTAATGTGATCTCATCTCTTCTTCAGAAGTTTGTTTTGGGACAATTTACGAGGTCAGAGAAGATTTATTTTTTGGCCACCAGTGCAAGAAAAAATCACTTTTTTGTCTCTTTCAATAAGGACAAATGTGAAGTTGTTTGTAGTTGTCATCTGTTTGAGTTCTGCCGACATTCAATTGCAGTACTTATCCGTAATGACGTCTCTAGACTTCCTGATCGATATATATTACATAGATGGAGAAAGAATGTCAGAAGACCATACACGAGAATTGCCTTGAAATATGATGGAGTGAGGAATTTTCCGAGTCAATTGAGGTACGACAACTTGTGCACAGCTTTTGCCAAGGTCGCAGACCTTGCTGCAGACGATGAAGTTCGAGCCGGGCTGATTATGGAATGGATTCAATTGCAAGCACAAAAACTTTCTATGTTAAACCTTACTGGTGAAAAAAATATTCACGATGATCCTACCGGTTTCAAAACTCCATGTAGCATTGACGTTGGAGACCCAAAGTTAGCAAAACGAAAGAGTGCACCAAGAAAACTTCAGAAAAGAAGTCCGTTAGAGTCGACTTCGAATAGGAAAACGAAGAAGAATGAGGTATCTTTAAGTTTATTCACAATGTTACATGAAATGCTAAAATAAACACTTTTTTTATTATTGTTTTATGTATTTGCAGACACCTTTAACTAATAGAGGAAAGAGACTTACAAAAGAGATAAAAAAGCAAACAAATGAGCCAAAGGTCTAATTTTGTCATTAATTCTTGATTAATGTTAAAAATTACTTCATTCTAAAAAAGTTAAGATAAAGTTTATGTTACTTGTTTGTATTAGAATGATTTATTTTAATTGTGTTGTGTTTTTCTTTTTCATTCTAGATGTTGCATTGGAGACTAGAGCTGAATTTGAGGTGGAAAATCAATCTTTCGTGGAGTTATTAACGAAGACAACAAATTTTACATCTAATTCTCAATGTTAAATCAATTTTTGAACATGTTAATTTCTATGCCATAATGTATATGTTTAATTATTCAACCTTATATTGTTGTTGTTGTTGTTGTTGTTGTTCTTTTTTTAGGTAATGTGATTCAACAGTATTCACCATATCAAATGGGGGATGGGAGTGTTTAAAGACAGTTGGATAAAATGAGATTTTGGTCATCAAGTTGAGA